CTATTATTACGAATTTCAATATATATTGAAGAAATCGTGTACTAATAGTATATGCAGCATACTGAATTTCATCACAAGTGTAGTTATATCCGTATGGTTGTAAATAATTACCCTGAACATAAGTTGAACATGCACAAATTATTTCAAGAAAATTGGAAACAAAATGATCTTAAAAAGTACCCATTAAATTTTATAAGCACCAAGTTAACTAATTTATTTTAGACAAAATTTAATAATGTGTGGTGCCACCTTACGATAATCTCGTAAATTCTGTTTAGTCAAAAGTCCTACTATTCTCTAAGAAATCAAGGAATTTTTCTTACAGTATGGGGCCAGTATGGCGACTAAAGCAATAATGGTGTTACTTAAAAGCATCTTAAAAATGCTGTTTTTGTTTTAAACAATGTTTTTCGGAGCCAAATGATCTATGGTGTCAGCACCCCTACTATATATTACAGTACTCCATCCGTGACTCCACCGTGTTGCCGGTTTCTTAAGTCATGAAAGTGGTTGATATAGCCACTGGGGCCTTCCAAGTTCTCTTTGTTATGACTTTTCTTTAATTTATTTTGTAAGAAAAACCATATACATATGTATCTTTGCAGGTGCTTTGTCCGATATGTGTGTATATGTATTTTTGTAGTTTCCTACTATAAATGCACTTCTGAACACTTTCACTGAAAGCAATTTGTAAAATGTTAAATAAATTTTTAATGCGTTTTAATTAAACTATATTTATTCATGTATATTTGTATATATGAAACATATTAAGTTTAGTTACAGTAGTATATAATTTGTGTTGTAAGTTGGAGTTTACAGATACGTTGAGAAATATGTACATATGTATGTTGTATGTCACATGTAATCCTTATTATATTAAAAGCGGTTCTAATATAGTTGGAGGTTTTTTAATGTCAAAGTGTTTTCCATTACGTCCATCGTTCAAAACTTTGATGCGGCCATCTAGTTGCGTTATGCGGAATGATATCTTTTACTTACCTAGAAAACGGTATGAAACGTACTCAAGAAAAATTAAAGCTGTAAATTATTCCTAGCGGTTATTTATAATATTACTTCTAATTATATAGTATAGAATTTAATTCGTATTAGCAGATTTTCTACACTTTTATCAAATACAATTGTATGATTGTGGAATTAAGAATATCATACCAATCTTCTAGTACTGGGTGAAGACAATCGGCTTGCATTTATTTCAATTTAAAACCAGTACGGAAGTTCTAAGTTCGGGTGTAACCGAACATTTTATACTCTGGCAACTTGCAAGGATCAAAGCCCGGGAAATTACTTCAGGTGGTGGCAAAATTTTATATTATAGGAAGTATGATCCGATTCAACCAATTTTTGACACAAAGACATACTATTTTCGAGAGTTTTATTTATTTATTTTATTATATGTATATGTGTTTCAATTATGTATCTTACACATTGACCGATATTTTCGGTAAAAAGTCAACTGTAGGCACTGGGGTCCACATATTCAGTACCTAGGGGCTTGAACAGTTTTGGTTCGATTTAGACAATTTTTGGTCACAAGCTGACATACTTTAAACGCATTATTCACGCAAAGTTTTGACCCGACCCAATCACTGTTGCTTGATTTGCAAAGTGAAAAATGAATGAATCAGATGGAATTTAAAATGGTGTTATATGGGAAATAGGCGTGGTTGTAATGTGATTTCGCCCATTTTTTCACTTCAAAATAGAAATATGAGAAGAATGTTATGCACCGAATTTGGTTAAAATCGGTTAAGCAGATCCTGATATATGGGTTTTCACCTAAAAATGGGCGGTGCCACGCCCACTGACTAATTTGGAACGCGGTTCCTATAAAGTTATCTCATACCATCCCAGAGATATAATTGAATGCCTCTGGCGTGTTTAGTGCTTGATTTATCGCGCTCTTAGTAGTTTTTAACAGTACCGTTATATGGGGAGTGGGCGGGGTTGTCACCCGACTTCACCCATATTCAAACTGTCGCTAGAAGTACTAAAAATATGTGTTTTCAGTGACTTTAGTTATTATAGCTTTAGCGGTTTCGGAGATATGCACAATAAACATATATAGGGGCGAGACTACGCCCGGTACTATGTACCGTATTCAAGCTTATAAGGGCATTAAATAAACGGGAACATTTGCCTACTGTTTATAGTATTACTGTTGATAGTACTACTTTTACCCACTTTAGAACCGAACTATTATGATAATTTTTTACCGATAAAATGTTTTATTGAATCCCAACATATTAGAATGTTTGCGTTGAAATAGGAATTCCCTTAAAGGATCAATAATATTAAGGATCAATAATAGAGGCCCTAAATTGTTAAAAGAAAAAATAATATGGAATAATATAAATTATTTATTATGCATACGTAGGTTGCCTTTCATATTTCCGGATTTGGCAACCCTAGTGTGGCAATTTGGCAACTCACAATTTTATCGTAAAGTTTGACATTTTTTTGTTATACATACTCAGAACGTTTTGACATGCGAGCGCTATTTGTGTTGTTTACAGTAACTTAAAATATTAATCTTTTTCGAAAAATGGAATTAAATCTTCAAGAACCAGTGTTAATTGATGGTATGGGGAATTCAATCGAGATCGTAGATGACTTCAAGACGAACTTCTTGAAGATCGTCCAAAATCAGTTGCTATTCCGGAAACTATTGAAGATGTGCGCATCCTTATATTGCAAGATCGTCATGGCACCTATCGTTAGACTGAGACAATATAGGCATTAGTGGGACCAACATTCAATATTAACATTTGACTGTAAAAAAAAAAAATTACGTTGGATTCCACGCAATTTGTCAATCGCTCAAGAAAAGGCTTGTGTCGGTTGGTCGAGTGAAATGTTAAAAAATGTACGATGGCGGTGCTTCGAAACACGCCTTGACATCGTGAGAGGTGATGAATCATGAAATTACGCGTATGAGTCCGAAAGAAATCAACAACGAAAGTTGTATGGGTATTTCTAGATGAGCCAAGAGCCAAACCTTTTCGCGCACGAAAAACTTCCAAGCAAATGGTTCCCTGTTTTTTTCTTGGAAAAACTGGAGATATCGCAACCATATCACTAGAACAACTAGGTAGGTAGAGTGGCTATCTAACGACGCACCTAGCCGATAGGAGGCCCATTGTGAAGTAGAACAACTAAAACAACAGTAATTTTCTGAATGGTACACTTCCATTTGTTTGCCAGTTGTCTTTTAAGAAATCAGGAAAACAAATCACTGAAGACAGATTACTCTTCAACAAACAATTCGAGCTCTCACACATCGACTGAAACAATTGCATTTTTGAGTACTAAAAATATCGATTTGATTAGTCATTCACCGCATAGTCCTGACTTGGCACGAAATGACTGTTTTTTATTCCCGTACATAAAAAATAAACTAAGAAGTCAACGTTTTTCGACACCTGACGAGGCGGTTGATGCGTTCAAAACGCATGTTTTGGAGGTACCTCAATCAGAATGAAAACAAGAAAGCGATTTCCGAAGATTAGTATTTGTTTTTATTCTCTAATACCGAAATATAAATGGCAACCCTCGTGTAACCACATTACGCGACTATTTTGTGACCACATGTGACATTGTTATTATTAACATTGTTATTTATTATTCGTTAAATTTTTACACATATTTTGTTTTTGTAAATTCAACAAAATGCTGACTTACTGATTAACACTTTACCGTGCCGGCAACCCTTACAAATTACTCGTTTTTCGGTAAAAGAGTAATCAGCTGCTTTGTACTCTCTTAAATATAATTTAAGTTTTCTTTAAATTTTTTTATTAAGTAAACTGTTATTTTACGTGAAGAACAAGAAATAAGAAGAAAGCTACAAAAACACATAAAACATAAATCATCATCATGTAATCCACCAAACGGGAGTATATTGTCGCATTATTTCAGAGCGTTCTGTAGAATTTGGCCTTAGAAAAACATTTAAATGTCCCCTCTTCCGACTTCATGAATACTTACACATTTTCATACAGTTCTTCAAACGCGTTGTCTATTTCATCTGCTTCGTCTTCGCTAAATTTATCTGCATAAAGAATATTTACATATGTAAAGGGTGTTTTTTAGAGGTATAGAACTTTAAATTGTAATAAAACAACGAAATTATTCGATTGACATGAGTTTTATTTATCCGAAAGATAATCTTGTGCCATTACATTTTAACTCGGATGTAGCCCAATTTGGACATCCAATTTTCGATGACTTTTTCCAACATTTGTGGCCGTATATCGGCAATAACACGGCGAATGTTGTCTTCCAAATGGTTAAGCGTTTGTGGGTTATGCGCATAGACCAATGACTTTACATAACCCCACAGAAAGTAGTCTAGCGGTGTTAAATCGCAAGATCTTAGAGGCCAATTCACAGGTCCAAAACGTGAAATTAGTCGGTCACCAAACGTGTCTTTCAATAAATCGATTGTGGCACGAGCTGTGTGACATGTTGCGCCGTCTTCTTGGAACCACAGCTCCTGGACATCATGGTTGTTCAATTCAGGAATGAAAAAGTTAGTAATGATGGCTCTATACCGATCACCATTGACTATAACGTTCTGGCCATCATCGTTTTTGAAGAAGTACGGACCAATGATACCACCAGCCCATAAAGCGCACCAAATAGTAATTTTTTTTGGATGTAACGGTGTTTCGACATATACTTGAGGATTAGCTTAACTCCAAATGCGGCAGTTTTGTTTTTTGACGTAGCCAGTCAACCAGAAGTGCACTTCGTCGCTAAACACGCTAAAATGAACGTAGTGCGCGATACGTATTCCGCACAGAAGCATTATTTTCGAATTAAAATTGCATTATTTGCAAGCGTTGTTCAGGTGTGAGTCTATTTATGATGAATTGCCAAACCAAACTGAGAATAAATCACTTGACAGCTGTTAAATCGGTCGCCATCTTGAACAGTAATGCCAAATTAAATGTCTATACCTTGAAAAAAAACACCCGTTATATTCTAATAATCTTACAACTTTTATATTTTTCTTCCATCAAAGTTGTTCGTGGAATCGTTTTTTCAATCAAATATTTAATTATTTTCGAGTTTGCAAGTTTTCTTTATACATATTATTCTGTCTGTGTCTTACGTGCAATATCAGCTGTATTGAAATACAACTACCGTACAAAAAATTCTTTTCATAGTTGGCAAGCTGTAACGAATTTAGCAAATAACGAATTACAAATACTCTTAACAGTATTGCGTGTGAAAACCCCTAATAATAGTCAGAGAAGTATCAACTGATGTCAGTTATACATATTTATACATAAGTGAGTTGAGCTTCATAAATTAGTTTATATCATCCTACATTAAAATAATTAATGGCTAGAAACATATAATTAGTTATTTAAATTTAGACGAAATTAAAAACTCAAAACAACACTTAATTTATAGTGAATATTACAATGATCTTATCTATTGTGGTTAATATTCGATAATTTAATATACGAAAACAAAAAGTATCTGAGAGCTTTACTCACATTTATGATAATATTTACACATACCATATATACAACATTAACACTATTTCCTATATTTTATCTGTATTTTAAAATTTAACTAACAAATAAATCCAAAAATTAAAATTATTTCTGAAGGTACAGTCGACTCAATAGTGCGTCAGTTACTGCCATCCCTGCTTAAAATAAAGACATAAATGAATATCCGGTTTGGTAACCAGGAGGATCTGTTTAACCCCATAAAACGCGTTGTATTATGTTGCGCTAATAAGAGTAACGCTAGAAAAATAAAAATAATGATCTGAATTAAAATATTATTTCAAACTCCTTAGTGAAATATTGTAAATTGTTGGTTTAATTAATTTTGAATAAGTCTATTTTAGCGTATGATGTAAATTTAATAATAACAGAGCTTAATTTATAATATACAAATAACCAGAAGGCGTAACATTCTTCACATTGGTTGACTATTTATTGGCAATTAGCAAACTGCTTGAAAAAATATATAACATCAACATACAATCAAAAGTAGACATGTATTTTATTTCGTTTGTTTAAATATTTGGATACTTTTTTTATTTATGCTGCTAATATATCATTTTGATTCAAAAAATAATATACAACGGTGGTATCAAGTTTTCCAAGAAGGTTCAGTTAAGCTTACTTGCCTCTCATTCCCGTTTTCGATCTAGGAGCTCAAATTGATTTAATATGCGATAATGTTTCTGCAATATTAATATAAATAAATGATGGAAAATTGGATACACTCTTATGCATCACCAAATAACATAACATATGTTTGGTTAGCAATATACATATATACGTATGTATATTAATATATTATGCAAATGACTACTTCTTTTATGCACTATTCGTGATTATGTACATAAACTCGTACTGCATGAGGAATTCGGCGACATAAATCAAAATCATAAATCAAAAAGAAAAATTAATAAATTAACAAATGTGAAAAAATTTTAATAATGACTGATTATTTGCAGCCGATATTAAAAGTTAACAACATGCAACGCTCTAAGGAACCGAAAAATTATATTTTATTCTATATTCAAAACAAAATGGAAGCAATGACCAAACCTTAAGGAAGAATGTTAAAAATGAAGTTCACTTCGGAACGCTTACGGAATGTAAAAATTACAATTACGTATATAGGTAACATAACCATCATCCTACACATGTGTATATCAAATGGGTAAGTTACTATTGTTCAAAAAGTTGCTGAGAAATGAAATGGCAGAGATTTACTTTGCTGATCGAATAGTTCTGTATGTACATATATAGTGCTTACATGGAATTCTCAGCACAAATATTACTGATTTCAATCAATAGTACACACATACAAGATGCTATTCAAAAGTTTCAGGATTTTTATTAAAAAATGAATATTATTTGTTTTTTTTTGAAAAGTTTATTAGTCGCCTTCAAAATAGTCTCCTTCCGCCTGAATACAACGTTTTGCACGTTCAAAAGGGGTAATCGAATGACTTTTTTAGGTCATTTGTAGGTATAGCGTTGAGGATGGCGGTCGTCGCCTTTTGGGTGGCATCAACGTCAGCATAGAGGTTTCCTTTCATGGCCAAATGTAGTTTTCCGAACAAATAAAAATCGCAGGGTGCCATATCAGGCGAATAGGGTGAATGGTTGATGATATGAATGCGATTTTTGGTCAAATTGAATTTGAATTCTGAAGTCTTTTTCGTGTTGTTTCAAAGTGTGCGGAACAAATCGAGCACAAACCTTTCTGAGGCCCAAATTTTCTGTCAAAATACGATAAATCGACGCTGTGGATATTGATAATTCCGATTCCACATATTTAAGCGATAATTTCGGCTCTTTTTTAATGAATTCACGCACAATTTCCGTGTTTTATTCGTTCACAACATCTTTTGGGCGGCACGAACGTTCGTCGTCTTCCAAATCCTCCTGTCCCTCTTGTAAACGTTTAAACCACTCGTGAATACGGCTATGGGATAGACAATCATCGCCATAAACTTGTTTCATCATTTAATGAATTTTGGTAAAAGTTTTACCAAGTTTAAAACAAAACTTAATGTTGGCTCTTTGTTCGATGCTCATTTTCCGACCGACACTACAAATGTAATGTTACATGTAGCACGATATCTCAGCTGTTATATAAATTTTATACGACAACACTGAAGAATACACAATTGAGGGATAACAATTTCAGACAGATGACGCCACTAGAAGCCGCGTTGTTTAAAAAGTCCTGGAACTTTTGAAGTGTACCTTGTACTTTTATATGAAAGTTACTTCGGTTTCGAATTATGCATTTACAAAATATGTATGGATGTATATTCAAATCATACGAGTACATTAGATTTACATATATGTTTATATTTATTCAACCTTAATAAATCCTTTAATAATTCGATACTTATTCACGAAAGCGTGAATATAAAACAAATTAAGTTAAGTTACAAGATGGATGAGATTTTTAAATTTTTTCATATTTATGAATGGTTAAAACGAATGTAAAATGTTATTATACTGACTTAGTTGGACCAGTAATTCGGCTGATGAATTAGTATATTTACATTATATGCAATGCGCTAAAACTAGAGCTATAATTAGTTTATTATTTTAAAGACGCCTACTTGCTAAAAATTTATTCGAAGAGATAAAAATTACTTTTTAATTAAACAAGAAAGGAAGGGCTATTCGGCTGTAACCTATGATTTTATACTCTTGCAACTTGCAAAGGTCAAAGCTGGCTAAACATAATAGGTCTTGGCAAATCTTTATTTCAAAAAATGTTATTCCATGAAATTGTCAATGGATAACAATCAAATTTGGTGTCTTATTAACTTATGTTGAAGGTCATGTACTCACTTAGTTTTATTATTGTTTATATTTTAATTATGTCAAAATTTTATTAAAATCATCGGTAAATAAGAAATATGTGACATAAGTTATGTATATTATATTGGCGATGATGGGACGTACTGATTGCATTAAATTTGACATTGCTCAGGTAAACTCGAGATCATATTTTCAAGTAATTTTATATATAAATAATACTCACTGACCGACATATTCGTCATAAAACTTGTTTGAATAAGGAAAATCATTATAAGTAGTACATAGAAGTTGTTGGTTTTTGCCAATACCACAAACTGTTAACATGTCACAGACTAATAAAAAGCTCTCAGGGTTTCATTAAGGTACGTACCTCACTAATCATATGAAGTAAAGTCAGCCGGATGTTCGAAAATTCGGATAGTAGTTATATGGGGGAAGGTCAAGTTTTCACCCAATTTTATCCATTTTAAACACAAAGATACACTGTTATGATTCAAACACGTTCTCTAATTTTCATTGAGATAACTCACATATTGGCCGATATATATGTTATAAAGTAAACTATATATGCTATATTTCCAAGCAATTTGATAAATAGTATATAACTCACATACTGAACGGCTAATTAGTCATAAGGCTTATTAGAAAAACCAAAATCTTTATACATATGTAGTATATTGGAGTGGGCGGGTACATATTAAGCACTAAACCACATAATTTTTTTGAAACTGTTTCACTTAATATTACTAAAATACACCAACCTTAACACGAATCGGAAGTCAATGGGGCTGATTGCCTTAGCTTTTGCCATACATATTTTCCAGCAATTATACATATTACTCATACAATGACCCACATAATCGGCATATGGTTCGTTAGAATAACGAAAAACATTATATGCATGTAGTATATGTGAGTTGGAGTTATTCGTAGACCAATTTCACAAATTTTCGGCATTAAGAAACCCCCACAATATAGAAGCCCCCGTTAAACTATAGTATATCCAATACGCTCAGTTAATTTTGCTATTGACTTATACATGCGGTATAAGGCCAACCGGAAGTTTTAAATTCTTACATATATTAGGTATATGGGAGATAGGGCTAGTATTGAACCGACTTTATCTATTTTTGAGATTACCACAAAACAAGAGGCCATCTGAGTTTCTTTAAGGTACCTCATCAACAATATAATAATATGGAGTAAAGGCAATCGGATGTTTGAAAATTCTGATATTAGTTATATGGAGGCTAGGGCAAGTTTTCACCTAATTTTATCCGTTATATTCACAAAGAGAAACACACTCTTTTAATTTTATTAGTAGTTAAATTTCGCCCATTTTCACACTGTAACATAGGAATTTCATGTTGTGTGTCTGACGGTTTCATTTATTGAAATAGCGCGTCTTTAATAGTTTTCAACAAAACCGTTAAATGGGAAGCGGGCGGGGTTATAATCCGATTTCAATCGTTTTTCCAATTTCGAAGTGAATGCTAAACATTTGTTTGTGTTTTGAGCAAATCTAGTTGATTTAGCTTAAGTGGTTTGGGACTTATGTACATTAAACCTATTAATTGCAGTAGTTACATACATATATTGATGTTCCGATACCACTATGTACTCGATGCTAGTAGTTATTTTAAAGTATCGGAGATAGTACTCGATGTTATGGAAACTTGTACATGTACTTGAAAGTACTTTCTTATCTTTAAATTCCAACTTATTTTCAGTTTAATAGAACAAAAAAAAAAAACAATGCCAAATTTTATATGTAACAGAGTTATAATATAATATAAAAATTAATAATTATACATATGCTTATTTTTAACATGTATGCGTGAGTATATACATAATTATTTTTCACTGCCTCAGGGTATCACAATGGTCCTCCTTAAGGCCTAGGTGGGTCGAAAGACAGCCACTTAACCTAATATATTCAGGTGAAAGGCGATTTATTTTTTGAGAGACCTGCTTTGGAAAATAGGAACAAGGAACTGACGTTGCCACTATGCCAAATAAATTCCGAGCAATCTTATAAAGTGATGGGTAGTGGACTTTTAAGTCTTTCCACTCTAAAATGGGGTTGCTTTTAAGAGAAGAAAGAGGAGTTGCTACAGAATTAGAAACTTCCTTAATATTTTCTCTTGAGGTTCTTTTGTCCACAAACATGTTTGTGGTGTTGTTTCCAAAAATCATAAGTTATCTCAGTACCTTCATCATCACTACTACTACTTTTTGATTCTGTTTTTACAAGCTCCTTCAGCCTTTGAATGACCTTAGCACATGTCAGTGGATCTTTAAAATGTCCACGTTTGAATCTGGGTTCAAGTATGGTAGCCATTGCAATACCACTATGGTACTCAACTTGACCAAAACGGTTTTGAATTTTTGAAGTAAGTGTTGCTATCATAGCTAGTATTCAACTTCTCGTTTCCTTAATTTGGTAAGTTATACTATTAATAGTTGGAACGATTTTTGACAACATAGCACATTTTTCAGCAGAAGTTTCCCCGGTTGCAAATTCGAAAGGGTTTAGTATAACTATTATATATTTAGTTACCTTAATCTCATTACCTAAAAGACAAAATTATCTGACCATTTTAATACGCCTGTTATGTTGTCTGCAGTCTCAATTTTAAATGCTTTGTAGCATGGTTTCAGCTTTTTATATCTAATTTTACACTTATGCAACT